CATTCTAAAAATGTTAAAATGTAGGACTGCCATGCGAAACCTTAAATTAGAGTGAATAAATGAAAACTTGGCACACCACTTCTGAAAGGTTGCCGACCCCTGGTTTAGTTGCATGTCCTCTTGATCTTGTGTTATGAGACAGGGAAAATATATTCTCCATCTACTCTACCAGTGAGTATTTTCTCATAACTCCTCCTATTCATCTCCTCTGTAGCGTAACAATCCCAGACTTGTTAACCTCTCTCTGGATAAGAGATTCCCCAGGCCCTTGATCATTCTCCTCGCCCTGGACGTAACCCCTCTCTTTCTGCAATATCCTGTGTGAGAAGGGTGCCCACTATTACACAGAGACCGGATAGAGTGAAATATTGAATGACTGATCTCATAGCATTGTATTTTCCATATCATTTCACATCCCACTCCTGCTGGATCCCAATGTCCTGTTTAGTTTCTGTCTTTGCTTGCACTGTGAGCAGGGTTTCACAGAGCTGTGTACCATGACACCCAGGTCCTTGTCCTGAGTTCATATAGTTAAATCAGAAACTTGTCAAGTATTTTAGGAGTTTCAGCTTTTTCCTCCAATGGGCATACACATCAGAGTTTATTGAAATCGAAATTCATCTGCCATCTTGCTCCCCATTCACTGGGATTGTTCAGTTCCTTCAGAGGACTTCTCTGGACTTGACTCTGAGCTAAATAATCTGGTGCCACCTGTAAATGTTGCCACTTCACTGATCACCTCCAGTTCTAGATTGTTGATAACTATAAAATATTTTTTATACTATTTTCTATAAAGTGTGTAACCCCTCTTTGCTGGGCTTCTCTCCCTGTACAGGCACCTGGAGCATTTCTGAGCCCAATCGATGCATTGACCACCTCATGGCAGTTTTCAACATCACCCACTCTAACCCTTCAACATTCATCCTAATGGGCATCCCCGGCCTGGAAGCTGCCCATGTCCTGATTTCCATCCCTTTCTCTATGTTCTACATTATCGGTCTGTTGGGAAATTTCACAGTTTTGTTTGTTGTAGGCAAAGAGCAGACTCTCCACAAACCAATGTACCTGCTGCTCTGCATGCTGGCGCTCACAGACATTGCCACACCTACCTTTGTTGTGCCAAATGCACTGTGTATATTTTGGTTCAATTTGAAAGGTATTACTATGAGTGGCTGCCTCACCCAGATGTTTTTCCTTCACACTGTTTCTCTTATGCACTCCGCCGTCCTTGTGACAATGGCATTCGATCGTTACGTTGCCATTTGTAAGCCTCTAAGATACAGCATCATCCTCAATAACACACGAATAGCTAAGCTAGGGTTCGTGGTTTTGATAAGAGCTGTTCTCTTCATTCTTCCCCTGGTCCTGCTCCTGAGCCGGCAGCCATTCTGTGCGAATCACATTATCCCCCACACTCAATGCGAGTACAGTTCTGTGGTGAAGATGTCGTGTGGGGACATTACGGTGAACAGGATATACAGCTTGGTGCTATTCTTTGTAGTCAACATTTCAGACCTGACGCTCATTGCCCTGTCCTATGGTCTGATCATCAAGGCTGTTCTCAGACTCTCCTCCAAGAAAGCCAATCAGAAAGCCCTCAACACCTGCACAGCCCACATCTGTGTGATGCTGACGTATTATACTCCCAGCCGCTTTTCCAACCTGACAAACCGGTTCGGTCAGGGCATCGCTCCCCACATTCACATCATCTTGGCTGACCTCTATCTCCTCATCCCGCCCATGCTCAACCCAATTATTTATGGGGTCAAATCCAAAGAGCTTCGTGAGAAAGTGGGCAAATACATCTGCAGAAAGTGATTGCCATGGGTCACTGCCTTGAAACCTGTTTGACAAGAAGGAGAAAGTATATCTCCTTCTTAATCAAGGCTGCTCTGTTTGAGTTTGGCTGAGCTTAGTGTTGTGGAGAAATGTACCTGTTTTCTCTATGTCCAATACTTCAGGAAGCCTGGAGGATAAACCAAAGACTAACAGTAACAAACTAATTCAATGCAAAATGTGGACATTGACTAGCATCATGGAATGCAATTACAAAAAATTAATATGTAAATGTTACTGCTTTTTTTTCTGTATATATGTTTTGGGCTAATTTGGGTACTATATTTCATGCCACCATTTGTCATTTTTTGTGTGAAATACCTGCAACCCTCAATGAGGATACAAGTATCTGTACTGGTGTTTTGATTTTTAATTTAATTGTCACCTTATAGGTGTGTTGCTAATGTGGAAAAACTCCTGCGAGGACGTGTAGATTTTATTTTTTTAAAATATAAAATCGATACTAGGTATCTAATGAAATCTTTCATTTGTTATTTGATGTATAGGCCACTGTGTGAATGTGAAAATGTTTCCGGAAGTAGATTGGGCTGCTTTTAAGTTAGTTGTTAAGTGAATTTGGGCTCTTAATGCGTCCTCAGCACCTCAGGCTGGGCCAGAGGCCGAGCAACAGTGCTGAGGAAGAGTCGTGTATCTGGATCTGGAACCGACCAGAGCCAGGAGATGGGGCAGCACAAACCAGCTGTGACAATGGTGAGGCAGGACTGGGATACTGTGGGGTGTTGTGGGGACATAGCCAGGAGAGTGGATGCGAGCCGTGCCACATGTAACACAGCAGCTAAGTGTGATGCACAACCGCGGAGAGTAAGGTGCAGTCTCCGTGCAGGAGACATCACCTGATCAGAGGCACTTGAAGGTCAGACTGGGAGGGGGGACATGAACCCAATGGGAGGGCGGATGCTGGTAAGAAGGGACTTGCCACGAGAGTCTGTAGGTTCTCTTGTCCCTCTGTAGCAGTTGGTTGCCACTCGCAATATCTTGTGGATATTCTTCCACTGTGACTAAACAACAAAGGAAAAGAAGAGGCAAAAAGGCATTCTTCCAGTTCTGCTTTTGGTCCGGATGCAGGGTTCCCAGCATATTCATGGGTGCTCAGTTGAACCACTCAGTAGTCCCATTCCTTTGAGGGTGATAGGGCTTGGTTCTCACCTTTGAAGTCCTCAAGTTTGCAAAGCTGGACCAGGAGATTACTTTCAAAATGTCTCCCCTGGTCCATATGTATCCTCTCAGGGATGCCATTGTCAGGGCTGTATCCCCACTTTGAACTTTAGGGTACAAATGTAGGGGCCTGCATGAAAACCTCTGAGCTTAACTACCAGCTTAGCTCTGATCCGCTGCCACCATCCCAATGGATTCCCTCCCTTGGAAGCGTTGAGAGACCTTCACCAATTCCCTGGTGAATACAGATCCAAACCCCTTGGATCTTAGAACAAGGAGATATTAACCATTCCCCTCCTTCCTCCCACCAACTCCGGGTGAATACAGTTTCAACCCCCCTGGGATCTAAAACAAGGAGAAATTAACCATTCCCCCTCCTTCCTCCCACCAACTCCTGGTGAATACAGATCCAAACCCCTTTTGGATCTAAAAACAAGGAAAAATCAAAATCAGTTCTTAAAAAGAAGGTTTTTAATTAAAGAAAAAGGTAAAAATCATCTCTGTAAAATCAGTATGGAAAATAACTTTACAGGGTAATCAAACTTAAAGAGCTCAGAGGATTCCCCTCTAGTCTTAGGTTCAAGGTAGAGGAAACAAAGATAAACACTTTAGTAAAAGGTACATTTACAAGTTGAGAAAACAAAGTAAAACTAAGATGCCTTGCCTGGCTTTTTACTTACAAGTTTGAAATATGAGAGACTTGTTTAGAAAGATGGGGAGAACCTGGATTGATGTCTGGTCCCTCTCAGTCCCAAGAGCGAACGAACTCCCAAACAAAAAGCACAAACAAAATCCTTCCCACCCGCCCCACGCCAAGATTTGAAAGTATCTTATCCCCTTATTGGTCCTTTGGTCAGATCCCAGCCAGGTTACCTGAGCTTCTTAACCCTTTACAGGGAAAAGGATTTTGGAGTCTCTGGCCAGGAGGGATTTTATAGTACTGTACACAGGACAGCTGTTACCCTTCCCTTTATAGTTATGACAGCCATAATGGCAGATAAACTGTTTCCACATCACCTTGGGCACAGTAGATGCCCACTGGTCATGAGTAGGCTATGCCTGAGTATAGCAAGTGAAGTGCTCAGTGATTAAAAGGACATTCTCAGTTTCCCCCGGGATGGTTCCAGGGTGAGAAAGTTGAGGTACACTATATCCAGGGACCTACTGATATGGATTGAGGTCAGTTGAGCTTTGCCTTCAGAGATGATTCTCTTTCTTAGGCAGCACCTTTCTCAAGAGAGGCACCACCCTAGGATGCTGGATTGTATGTGTGTCTCCTCTCGCCTGGGTGGCTGCCTGCCTGCCTCCGTAAAGTCAACTGCCTCTCGGTCAGCAGGTCAGGTGACATGGGCAGTATCAAATCACTCCCCATTCATTATGTCCCCCTTTGCAGTCGCCCCGATTGCCCATGTCAAAGGCCTGTGCTGGGTTTGACCCCCAGTCTCATGGTGAACACTTAGTACGGAGGATAGGATGGCCTCCTTCTGGGTTCTCATTCAGCACCAGCCACTCCCCTGACCTGCTGATCACTGCATGATGTTCAAACCACATACTATTTATTAAAGAGTAACTGTAAGAAAAACAGTAGGAAAAATGGAAAAGCTGAAGGAAAACGGTCTGTGGGGATAGACACACCACAAAGAGCTGTCTCTGGGATGTAAGAAAACTTCATAGTCTGCTCTTGATACATCTCAGTCCTCCTGCCCAGGCCCTGGCTGCACGGTGCTGATACCTGGTGTCAGATACCTGCTGTGGCCACACACACCCAAGCTCAAGGTGACAGGACCCTTCTCCCCAGCATCTACCCTCCCATCAGGTTCACATCCCTCCCTCTGAGTCCAGCCTTCGAGGCCCTCCTCTATGGGGATGTCTCTCAGCCGTGGGACCTCTGCCACGGCCCCAGCTTGCTCTCCCCACCTGCAGATCATGCTTGGCTGCCGTGTTACTTGTGGCACGGCCGGCATCCACTCCAGTGGCTCTGACTCTGCATCTCGTTCATTCTTCCCCAGCTCCCGGTTCTGGTCTGTTCCAGCTGCAGCTCCCCAGCTCTGCCTCAGCACCGCTGCTCCGCCTCCAGCCCAGCCCTGGCTCTTCTGGCTTGGTTCTGCTGCTCTGCCTCTGGATGGGCTCTGGATTTTTGGCTGCTTCTCTGGCCCCTCTGGGTCGGGCTGGGGTTGCCAGATTTCCACTGCAGTAATAGTCCAAAGTCCCTGAAAAAGTTACCTAAAAGTGGCCCAATCAATTTCTTGAAACAAATAGTTTTTCATTAACATATTGGTTTATACATCATTAGACATGTAGTACAGATTTTATTTTTTTTTTAAGCTACACGCTCCAGCAGGAGTTCTTCCACATTAGCAACAAAGCTATGAAATGACAATCAAATTTGAAATCAAAACCCCCTTCCTGGTGTTGAAATATACACATCTATTAATATACATTGTGATTTATATGTCCATGTAATATGTTATGGGTTGTTGAGGCCTGGTATGAATGACGCGTGCTTATTATAAATATCTGTGCTGTGACTTAGTAACTGAAGGAAGAACTTACGATCCAGAACTATTAGAATTATTTGTGCAAAAAAACAATCTCGTTATGTTCTGGAAAAATACTTAGAACCATCAGAAAAGGAATCAACAGCTAGACGGACAAGAATTGGAGGACATGTTGGTCCGACCAGGATTGTCTCTTTGGAATTGCATGGGTAGAAGGCCTAGTTGTTACCTGTCAGCTCTGTGTTCGTGGGGAACCAGCGTGCCATATACAGCCTTTCTGACTCATGAAGGACACCCCCCCCGCCAGCCTCTTATCAAA